AAAATCCTTCCTGCGACCTCCCCAAATCTCACTATGATTCTCTCAAATCCTCAACAATCTTCCCAAGATGTCACTGTCACGGTGAATGACTTTCTGTGACTTTCTGTTTAAATTTTGCCTGGTTAGCCAAAATTTAGGCAGCAAGTACTCACTGTGACACCACCATGTTCAATCGAACACTGCAAATGACTTCTTAGTGAATTTTTCTTGTAAATAATTGGCTTTCAACACAAGCCAAGTGTCCTGAACATATACCCATGAAGTAATACTTGTTTAATTAATACTTTTTACAGTAGCTGACGATCCAGGTGTTGCTATTTTGAAAACCTACATGGATGCCATGATCAAGCAGAAAGTAGAGGGAGATCTTACAGAACTACAGACAGCAATCGAAGAACAGATTAAAGATGCGTTTGAGAATGTGAAAGAATATATCAATATGAAAATCGAAACTGTCCAGAGGGAGACTGTGGCCCACATCGATTCATCTGTGAGTAAATGATAAATGTGACTTCTATTAAATCATGTCAACTCTTTCTGTAGGAATTCGTCAGTAAAATGCTTTCTTTTCAATTGCTACGCAGATGAGTACCATGTGGGAAAATGTCGAGAGAGAAATAAATCAGAATATCAAAAGTGTGCATGCTGCTCCTCCCTGCCCTCCTGTGACGGATGAGGTAATAATTCATTTCCTCAAGATAGTAGTACTGTTAAAAAGCTGGTACTCACTTTTCTATTTTTTTCTTAATCCATTTCAGAATTTTGATGTCTCGGCGGATATTTCTGTTGTCGAATCTGGTGGGGAGGAAGATGGCGAACCATTAGATTTCAAAGACATTGAGGCAAAAATTGAGGTAAGCCAATAGCTTCTACTGAAGCCTAATAAGCTTGATATCTGATCCATTCCTATCACATCAATAAGTATAGTTATAGTCAAGAGCAAACCATATGCAAAGTTAATTCTTTGTTTGTTAATATTGCAGACTAAATTTTGGGGCAAAACGTTTAATAAACAGGAGGAACCTAAAAGACAAGAGGAACCTATTTCTGACGATGACCTAGTGGTAAAGTTGTTCTTTTACTGTAATCGTAGAATATCAAATATCAAAATAACCTTACAAAAATCTTTTTCTTCCCCTGCCATTAGGAATCTCCTTCTAAGAAGCCGAAACCAGTAAGAGCAAGGAAAACACCAGTTAAGAATAAGCCTAAAAGTAGTTCGAAACAGGGAAACACTGGTCCAGGTCGGCCTAAAGGCTCCACCAACAAGACGGTCAAGAAGGATGACTTGACTGACCAATATAAGAACCTACTTGAAGAACATAAAAAACTAGCCGCAGAGTTAGAAAAACTCAAGAAGAGCAAGTAGTGCCTAATTTGCTTTAAAAATTTGTTGTTGGTGAGTCTACATTGGCAAATGATTCCACTTCCATTGCACTGTAGATGTGTCATTCAATTTTCCTGCAATGTAAGTAGTGTTGGGCGCTTGTCATGTTATTTAATTATATTTGTTCTACTATCATTCTATTCCATTGCCAAGTGTTTTTAAGTTTTGTTTTATTTGTTCAATGGTGTTGCCTAACGTTGAGGAGCTTGTAACCTTTTACAATTGATAAGTTTTTGTATTTTGGAGCAAGTTTTATTGTTTATTAATCCAATGGTGTACTTGATGTACTTTCATGCTTTCATCTTTTATGACCAATCTTGACCATAATTGTACATCTTTATGTGTTTTCTATTTTTTTTTAAATTACATTTATGACAAACAGCAACTCAAACTGTTCTTATTTATCAACCAGTACCTAAAATTGAATATAGCTGCACAATTTGAACAGCTCCGTACTTAGTAGTTGTGATCATCAACTGGGTGTCATGCCTCTTCATCTTAGTACATGTAATTGAAGTCTTTTTAATTGGGGTTACATGAAGGTGAGTTTTTCAACAAGCTTTTGAGTACATGTTTTTTGGAAAGATTGTTAGGAAATCCTCATTGAATGCTTACTAATAAGAATTCACCTAACTTAAAAGTTAGGAATGAGTTCAGTTATGTTACCATATCTCAACAGTTTTACTGCAATGCAGGGAAAATTAAGGATATTAGCTGTGGTGTCTTGTTTTGGGGAGGAATACACTGAAAAATTTGCCATTTTGCATAATAATCCCCTGCAAGGCATTTTATGAGAAGGAAACTACCACATACTTGCAAACCATTCAGAATTTTGCATGCCTTTTACCTTTGTCAGAGGAACAGCTTTATATCCCCTAACACATAAAAAGTTTAAAAGTCACAGTATCAAAATTATTATTAACATCCAAACACTCAATTTGAACCCTTTTTGTAAACGCTCTAAACACTTCTCGCGCATCAGGCCAGGCAACAAAGGCATTGAATCAGTGTTCTCCGCTACAGATGTGAGATATCAAAAATTGGTTTATCTTCCCCTTAAAATACTTTTAAAATATAAAGAACTAACTTTGGACCATTGCAAATGTTTCAAAAATGTTAAAGATATGTTTTTGTCAAAGAATTAAAAAATACGAAATCAAAATCAAAAATGAGCTGTCATAACTATTAATTCCCTTCTGATTAAGGATTTTTAACACCCAACTTTGTTGACATACAATGGTTGCTCAAGGAACCATTTTGGTGGAGTCCTGCAAAAAGCACAAAATTTTAAAAACTATTGAACGGTTTGGGATACAGACTTGAGGCAATTATTGTTCTTAATTTTGGTCATTCTAAGAAAGATTTTTCAAGCCCCCCACCTGACCTGCCCATCATATAGAGCCACCATTTTCAGTGTAGACTTTCCTTAACTCTAAAACAAACGACAAAAACACATTGATATATAGGGAGGGTACAAAATTTAATTTCATGGTACTACAATTAGATGACAGCAGACTTAAAACACAAAGGCCAAATAATACAAAATAATAGGGACAATTAATATTAGTAAGATTGTGACTAGTATTTCTCTAATTTCTCGTTTTCATTTTTACAGTACAGAAAAAAAAGAATTCAATACATATTAAATACCTGGAGGGTGGGACTATTAAGTTATTTTATCCAAAGAAGCAATGGCCAAGAGAGGCACAGCACAAAATGACATTTAAATGAAGCCCAGAAAACAACATGTTGTAAAACATATTTTAACACTACTGCTTTAGGATCAGTACAACACACAAATGTCACACATTATACAAAGTTTTTTCTGTATCTTTACAAAGTATGAATTTTCCTTTCAGCAACAGCTTTCATTAAAATAACAATTTATTTAAACTTAAACTCCGAACCCTTTTACAATCATAGATTAGAGTAAAAAATTGAAATTTTACCAATCAATAATAAAATCAGTCGAGTAACTTTGACGAAACAAATACATGAAAAATAGGTCAGAAATTGTACGTCAATACCAAACAAAAACATTACACAAACAAACTTACACCTCATCCACTGCCCTATCATAGGCCCTGTCAAATGTGTGTAGGGCACCTTCCAGGTACCTCATGATGCTGTTGTTTAAGTTGTCAACAGGGTGCGCCAATCCATTTGCCAGGTTCCTAAGGCGTCTGTCAAGGTTAATGGATCTGGCACGCCTCATTCTGTTTGGTCTGTCACCCCTGAGCATAGCCCCAGCATCTGCTACTGCACCTGCCTCCAATGTCACCAAGGCAACTGGAAGAACAGAACATGCTAGTTAAACTGCTATGATTAGTTCTATACATCATTGACCCTAGACTTCTCTCTGAATATTTCCAGTGAAGTAAAAGTAGGTACTTAGTATTTAACATAGAAAAACTGGT